ACGACGATCGAAAGAACGAGGCTTGAGGCCCCAGGATCGAAGAAGAACGGGCACGGGAACGAGGGGTAGGAGAGGGATGGAATGGAGGGCGGGGGGGGCGAAAGGCCATCGCGGAAGCAGCAGCATGCATGGAGAAGGTGAGGCGGGGAATAGGACGACGATGAAAGTGGCGGGAGGAGACAGAAGACTGCCGCGTTTTTCAAGTGCGAGCTAAACCCGCAGCGCTGCCTGCGCCATGTCGTCGCAGAGTTCCACATGATAAAACTTGTTTAGAGTGCAAGGAACGAGCGAGGCGTAGCTCGCCCGCTAGCTTCTCCGCCTCCTTCCCGCACATTTCAGCGCGGGAGCTGAACGCTCGCAGGCGCGCCGCCAGGTCTGCGGGCGGCCCGCGGGAAAGAAACTCAAGGCCGGGGTCGCGTATCATCAATCGGTTGTCCATCGTCCAAAGTTGCACTGGCGACGTACTGGTTGAACGCGGAGCGAGCAGCATCACGCGCGTGCCTGAACGCCACGCAGGTACAGTGCACGCGCGATTGGGACTTCAGGTCGATCACGCGCGTCTCCACCAGGCTTGGCAACACCACGCGACTGAGGATCTCACTGCGGTCTGCCATGCTGCTGTCCGCGAATGCAATGCGCTGCCTGCAAGTAAGGCGGCGGCGTCCACTTGTCTCAGAAGATGTTCCCGCGGGCCCGAAGGGCGACCGCCAGCTCGAGCCGCGGCGCCGGCAGGCCAGATAAGGATCATGCAACAGCAAAGACGATGACAGAGCAACGAGGTATCGGCGAGTGCATGACCGGCCTCCGTTTCCTGCACTTCTTTCCTGTAGTTCCCCTAGCTCATCGAGCTCAGCAGATGTTTCTGCGGGTCCGAAGGACGACCGCCAGCTCGAGTCGCAGCGCCGACGAGCTGCATCCACATCAGGCAACACCCCAGGAGACACTGGCACACAACGATTTGACGTCAGTCAGTGCCAGACCACTCCATGTCTAGTTCCTCGCACACATACAGTCGATCGCAGATGCGGGATAATCGAAGTAGAATGACGGGTCCAATCTGCGTCCGCGTAGGACGTCACTATGCTGGACCCCGCAGCAGGTCTCGAAAGTGGCGACAGTTTCATGGGCCCCACAGCAGCCCTCGAAAGTGGCGACAGTTTCACAGATCGTAGCCCCCCAGCGCTGGCGAGGTCTAATCTGAGTCCCCGTAGGACGTCACTCCGCTGGCCCCCCAGCAGCCTTCGAAAGTGGCGACAGTTTCACAGATCGCAGCCCCCCAGGGATGGCGAGGTCTAATCTGTATCCCCGTAGGGCGTCACTCCGCTGGGCCCCCCACGCAGCCTTCGAAAGTGGCGACAGTTTCACAGATCGCAGCCCCCCAGGGATGGCGAGGTCTAATCTGAATCCCCGTAGGGCGTCACTCCGCTGGGCCCCCCAGCAGCCCTCGAAAGTGGCGACAGTTTCACAGATCGCAGCCCCCCAGGATGGCGAGGTCTAATCTGAATCCCCGTAGGGCGTCACTCCGCTGGGCCCCCCAGCAGCCCTCGAAAGTGGCGACAGTTTCACAGATCGCAGCCCCCCAGGGATGGCGAGGTCTAATCTGATCCCCGTAGGGCGTCACTCCGCTGGGCCCCCCAGCATCCCTCGAAAGTGGCGACAGTTTCACAGATCGCAGCCCCCCAGGGATGGCGAGGTCTAATCTGAGTCCCCGTAGGGCGTCACTCCGCTGGGCCCCCCAGCAGCCCTCGAAAGTGGCGACAGTTTCACAGATCGCAGCCCCCCAGAGATGGCGAGGTCTAATCTGAGTCCCGTGGGGCGTCACTCCGCTGGCCACCCCAGCAGCCTTCGAAAGTGGCGACAGTTTCACAGATCGCAGCCCCCCAAGGATGGCGAGGTCTAATCTGAGTCCCCGTAGGGCGTCACTCCGCTGGCCACCCCAGCAGCCTTCGAAAGTGGCGACAGTTTCACAGATCGCAGCCCCCCAGGGATGGCGAGGTCCAAACTGTATCCCCGTAGGGCGTCACTCCGCTGGGCCCCCCACGCAGCCTTCGAAAGTGGCGACAGTTTCACAGATCGCAGCCCCCCAGGGATGGCGAGGTCTAAACTGTATCCCCGTAGGGCGTCACTCCGCTGGCCACCCCAGCAGTCCTCGAAAGTGGCAACAGTTTCACAGATCGCAGCCCCCCAGGGATGGCGAGGTCTAATCTGAGTCCCCGTGGGGCGTCACTCCGCTGGCCACCCCAGCAGCCCTCGAAAGTGACGACAGTCTCGCAGATTGCCGCCCCCCAGGGATGGCGAGGGGCAAGCTAGGTAAAAGGCAAGCGAGAAGAGGACGAGCAAAGAGAGGAGGAGAAGGGAAGCAAGAGAGGAGAGCAGGAACGAAGAGAGGAGGAGAGGGGGCGGGAGGAGGAGGAGGAAGGTGGAGACCACAGTGCTCTATTCAAAACGAGTACCCAACGCAGGAGGGTTGGGAAAAAGTCCGAGGTTGCATGCGTCCCCGCCGCCACCCAAGTCGGCACACCCCTCACACGTTTCGTGGCCCCAGGGGGGCTCCACCGAAGGCCCAAAAGTCCGAGGCTGCATGCGTCCCCGCCACCCAATTCGGCACACCCCTCACACGTTTCGTGGCCTCAGGGGGAGCTCCACCGACGGTCCAAACGGCCGAGGTTGCATGCGTCCCCGCCACCCAATTCGGCACTCCCCTCACACGCTTCGTGGCCCCAGAGGGAGCTCAACCGAAGGCGCAAAAGGCCGAGGTTGCATGCGTCCCCGCCACCCAAATCGGCACTCCTTTCACACGGTTCGTGGCCCCAAAGGGAGCTCCACCGGTGGGATCATGCTGCCCCGGGACCTCTCACAGGGTGCGTTTTGTCAGAAGAGTTCGGGGCAAATCCATTAAACACACCACTACATCGAAACCACTTCTCGGAAGTCCGCGCGGAATTCTTGCATCAGCGTCGGACCCCCCTCCCTGGCGCGTGGAGCGCGCCAGGGGCAGCGCCAGAGGTGCCGCTTGGGGGGGCCCAGCGCCGATCCAAGAAACCCCCGCGGGGCTCAAAGAAATTATGGTTGTGCCGCTGTGCCGTTGTTCGTTCTTCGGTCGTTACCTCGTCAAAAGGACGGCCATGGCTTTTGTTGGATGTTTCGGTGGCCTAATCTGTCCCGTCGCGCCAACTATCCGTGTCGCATCCATGTCGAACGGGTCGCGTCCGTGTCGCGTCCGTGTCGAATCCGTGTCGAATCACGTTCGAAATCGTGCCGAACCCGCACCGAACCCACATCGGAGTACAAGAAAAAGCTGCCATCTACATGGCAGGAAAAGTCCCTCGAAGATGCACAGCAGCCTGCCCTCCTCCTCCTCCTCCTCCTCCTCCTCCTCCTCCTCCTCCTCCTCGTCACCATCTCCTTTCTAAAGGCCTCTAAGATGGGGTCCGAGTAGATGGGGTCGGAGGAACGCAATACGTCGCCGATGCATCAGCGATGCCTCTGCGATGCGTCATCGATGCAGTGGCGACGTCGCCCGTGCATGGCGACGCCAGTTGGGAGCAAATCAGGCGTCACATCGAGCCGCATCGGCGATGCATCGACGGTGCGTCGCAATCCTCCGAACCCATCTGCTTGGACCCCATCTGGGAGGCCTAGACCTTGCCTCTGATCCTCCTCCTCCTCCTTCCTCCCCCCCGCTTCTGTGAGAAACCAAACGGTACTGATACTGCTTCTCACCCGACCTCTGATGGGGTGACGTTCTGAACGAAATTCTGAAGCGAATCCAGCGGTGGCGACAAGGGCTTCCCAGAAGGCCCAGGAAGGCGAACACGAGGCAAGGGCATCGGCATCGGTATCGGCACGTGTTCCTGCTCTGACATCCTCCTCTCCTCCTGGCTTTCGGGCCACGACTCGGCTCTCTGGCGGCCGTTCGGGCCGATCCGGGCGCCCCTGGAACGCTCTCGGCGAGGCACAGCTGCTGCAGCCCGAGGCTGGAAACACGCCGAGGGCCCATGAACATGCCCGAAAGCCTCGAGCTTCGAACCTCGTAGCCCTCGAAAGCTTCGAACCTTTTCTTAGGTCGGGCATGTCCTCCTACAGGCGGACTTTGGAAGAAAAATGACAAACAGTCAGGACATGTAAAAACATAGCCCAAAGAGAGAACAAGCCATCGCCCCCTGAGACCATGTTTTGGACTAGGCTGGGAACTCCTCCTGTAGAGGGACATGCCCGACTTAAATGGAACGCCTCGAACCTCGAACCCCTCGAAAGCCTCGATATAGGCCTCCTAGATGGGGTCCGAGTAGACGGGGTCGGAGGATCTGGCCGCGTCGCCAATGCATCGCCGCTGCATCGGCGCTGCGTCGGCGCTGCATCGGCGCTGCATCGGCGACGCTGGCGTGCGGAAACACGGTCTCCGCATCGAGCAGCACCGTCGATGCATCGGCGATGCGGCGCGATCCCCTGGTCCCATCTACTCGGACCCCATCTACGTAAGAGTTGGAGGCCTGGAAATGGGCATCAACACCAACACAAGAGAGGTTGCCACCACACGGGTAAGATGATCCTAGACTTCGGTGCTGGTGGTAATGGTTCGGTCGCTTAGAGAACCCGAATGTTACCACCATCACCGAGATCGGGAGCATCACCCCTCTGTGAAGGCGCCCCGCCGATGCTGGTCTTGGTGTCAACCTCTAGGCCTCAGAAAGAGGCCCACGTAGACTCGAGCCTTTCTCCCCCTCCTGCCTACCTACCAGACCACCCCAACCCAACCCGAAGACTCGAATTTCGAGTGGGGGGGGGTAAGGGTTCCACATGTGATTTTTCGATGTTTCCCGACCCCCCCCCACTGGAAATCGAGGGTAAATCTGGGCCTTCGGGTTGGGTTGGGGTGGTTTGGTGGGTGGTGACCTCCGAGGAAGAGGGCCCCCGGCGCGAGGCGCAGCGCGAGGCGCGGCGCGGGGCGCGCCGCCTCGCCGCGGCAGCGCGCGGCGAGCGCAGCGCGCGCACCGCGCCCCCCCCCGGCAGCCGGGGAACGGCGCGCTCACGCGCCGAGGTCCGCGGCGCAGTACCGCAGCTCGCTCACGGCCTCCTCCAAGGAGGATCGTCGTCGTCGCCGTCGTCGTCTTCGTCGTCGTCGCCGTCGTCGTCGTCGTCGTCGTTATCGTCGTCGTAGTCGTCGTCGTCGTCGTCGTTATCGTCGTCGTAGTCGTCATCGCTTCGTCGTCGTCGTCGTGGTCGTCGTTGTCGTCGTCGTCGTGCCGCTGCTCGCTCACGGCCTCCTGCAGCATCGAACCAGACAATCGTCACTAGCAATACAAGGACCCCCAATCCTTTTTGGGAGGGGGCCTGAATTGGGAGGACCAAGACATTAGGGATAAGGGGGTCTGTTCTAGAGGTGTATCGAACCACACCGCCCAGAATTATGACCCCTATTGCAAAGGCGGTGTCCTGAGTGAGGACACGCCTTCACATTTATCAGTGTTAGGGGTCCTTTTGTTCTCGATCAAATCGGGTCGGATCGGACTGTGCGTCGAATCGGACCGCGTCGGCATGAAGTCGAGCTCAGATCAGCTCGGCTGCACCAGGATGCACACCAACGCCATGGAAGCGTCTGGTCGCATCGGATTGGCGGGACATCGAAACCGAGATCGAATCGGACCGGGCCGGCCGAAGTCCACATCGCATCGGATGGGTCAGATCGAACTGGACCAGGCACGAGCAGACAGCGGCAGAGGCATGACCAATCAGCTTTCGTGAAGCGCAGCGATCCCAGACCCCCTCGGGTCATGAAAAAAACACGACGGGAATTGCTCTGCTATTTTCGCCCTCTGGAGCCCCTCACCGGGCCAAAGGAACGTCAAACAACTACTCAGAACGAGAAACCGGGGTCGAGGCCTGTGAGGGTCGACGTTATGCACAAAAACATGACGTCGGGGGTCTGGGATGTGCGGAAAGTTCGGCGGCATCGGCACGCGCAAAGATTTTTGACACCGCGTCGATCGTTCAACCTTGAATCGATTACGGCCCCGATCGTTCAAGGTTAAATTCCGTCGGGTCTAGTGTCAGGGGCGGCCAAGAGGGGGGCGTCCACGAGGGGGGGGGGCGCACATCATGGCCGGCGGCACGTCCGCGGCCAAGGGGAGGCCAGGGACGCAATGAAATAAGAAGAGGCGCCCTGAAACCTGGGGAGACATCATGCCCCACGCCACGACATCCACACACCCCTAGTCTTAAGTCGGGCGTGTCCCCCTACAGAAGATTTTTCGACTAAAAGTCATTTAAACAACATTAAAAATAATCCAAAAAGGGTTAAAACAAAGGTACTCCAAAAACGTCCCCTGACTGTTTTTGACTATTTTTCATATTCCCCCTGTAGAGGGACAAGCCCGACTTAACCCTAGTCATGACCCCCCTCTCTGCCGCCCCCGAAAATGGCGTCACCGTGCCCCTCGGTGCTGTCGCGTCGCAGAACGCAGCCACGAACGCCTCCTCCGGCAGGAGCAGCCTCGCCCCCCCTCGGCCTCACTGGAGGCCCTCGCCTCTAGAAGCCCTCGGGGCCGTCGGGGGGACGGCTCGGGACAAGGCGCCGTTCAACCCGGGGGTGGCCCGAGACCTCCGGGGGTCCCGTGCTGGAGCATTGATCAGGGGGCCCCTGGACACACAAGTAAGCACACACAGATAAAAAAACTCCATATTTTCAAATGTTTTGGGGAGTTCTCGTCTTCCCCCCCACTCCCAATATTTTCCAATATTTCCGTGGAAATCGACGATTGATTGTGTCTGTGTGTTTTTCCCCCTCCTGAATTGAAGGAGTCGAACATCTGGGGACGATCTGATATTTTTCATTCAGCAAGGGATCGGCTACACGCAGGAGTGACCCCGGGTAAGAGTGACCTTTGGTGCGCGGCATTTGGGGGGCCGCGGGGGACCAAACCTGGGCGCGCAAGCCGCTGCTCCTGCTTCGCTTCCAGCCATCTGGGGACCCATCTGCGCCCGCACCAAAGGTCACTCCGGCGAAAGGCCACTCTTACGTCTAGTCGATGGGAGGACAGCGGCACAACCGGAACGCTTCGGCGAGCCGCGCGGATCTCTTGGGGCGGCGCGTTCGCCGCCCTCGGCGCGCTCACCGCGCCGGGGAGGGGGGCCCCGGCGGCGGCGCAGTGCCTTCCAGGTGGGGAACAGACTCGTGTCCGCCTCGCGATCTGGACACCGGGGCGCGATCCCGCGGATGCGTGGCCGCACGGATACGCTCCGCCCGGGACAGGCATGGAAAAAACCTCATATACCCGCGTGCGGGCGCGGACCAGAAGCCCAGTCCCCGCGAGGCCAAGGATACGGATATGGTCTTCGCCTTCGAGTAGACTTGCGCACTCTCATCTGGAAGAAACAGCAAAACGGTCTGACCATACTTTCGCGCTCGGAGGTCCGCGCGCGGATTGCTCGGCTGAGCGCCAGTCCCCCGCCCCTGGCGCTGAGCCCAAGATCCGCGCGGCTCTCCGAGAAATGAAAGGAGGCTGGACGCAGGCTGGAGGAAGGAGGCTGGAGCAAAGAGGCTGGAGCGAGGAGAGGGAGGAGGAGGAGGAGGAGGAGGAGGAGGAGGAGGAGGAGGAGGAGGAGGAGGAGGAGTGTGTGGGTGGTGGGTGTGTAGGCATGTTATGCTGAGGTGTGCTTTTGTCATTCGATCCTCGATGGCCTCGGCGGCGGCGCCCAGCCGCTGCCGGATGTCCTCGGAGCCGCGCGTGCACTCAGAGATAATCCAACGTGCCTTAAACCATAATCAATGATTTCGCAGTGTTGCACCTCTAGAAGCCCTCGCCGTGCCCCGGGACAGTGAGCAAATACGACTCATGATGCAAGGCCAGTCCCAGGAAGTGGCTCGAGATTTCCGAGGACTCCGTACTGAAACATCGGATCTCTGGGATGCTGCTCGCCAAAAACATGTCAGAAGTCTTCTGCTACGCGCCTCAAGCTCACGACCCAGACATGTCATGTCCTGATTGTCGGTGCGCGGCGCCCAGAAATCCCGACCCTCTCTCCAAGCTCCGTCTCTCACACCGAGCCGTCTCTCGACAGTCCTGGGGCCAGGCCAGGGCCGCCAGAGGCAGCGAATGGCCCAACAACCTCGAGACGTGACTTTTTCACGACGCGAGCATGCCTGGGGAGCCTGCCCCGAAAACTGTACCCTGTACTGTTCGCGGTGGTGGTTGGGGACATCGTGTAACGGTCATGTCCCATAGCTGCTCCTTATGGGGACCTTCTTGGAGCCACTCGCTCCACCCGTGCGTCGAAGCTGCGTCGAACGTCGATCGACTCCGAGTGCAACAGGAGTCGAGCCTGGATCGAGCCTGCGTCGAACTGGAGTCGAACCCGAATCAGACTTGGGTCGAGCCAGAGTCGAGCAAATCCGCTGGGTGGGCCCCCGGGAAGGTCCCCGGAACGAGCACATGTGGCATGTTCCTGACCCCCGAGGTCCCGGCACGGCCCCTCGTCGCCGCCTGGCCGGGCCTTCAGCCTGCTCTGCTCCTGGGGGGGAAGCCGGAAGGCCCAGAACGCCGGCCGATGGACCAAGCCAGAGAAAGTTTCCTTTACAGCAGGGGCCCGTGCACAAGAAGCCTTCCACAAGAAACTCCACCCTGAGACCCCAGGACGTGCATTGATGTTCGGTTCGGGAACGTCACGCCTTCCACAACAAAATCATCATCAAAAAAAGAAACCCAGGGCACCCTGGAGGCAAGCAAAGTGTCTCTTGTGTCGGGTCTCCACTGCACTCGTCGGTCGGATGAAGTGGGTAGAAGCATGAAGTGGGAGAGCGCTGGAAACAAACCTGGGCCTCCGCCCGCCACCGACAGATAGAAGGAAGCGGGGATGCCGCGCGATGATTGCAATAGGAGGGCGCCTGGAGCAGCTGGGGATCCTGGCATCCCAAGAATACCCTCTGTCAACGACCGACGAATACAACGAATCCCAAACATACCCAAAAAATCCCCAACAACGCCAAACATACCCTCTTGGCATATCAAACTTAAAGATTTTTTTATTTGAAAAAAAAACAAACAAACAAAAAAAAACTCTTTCACCGCCATCGGCCTCGACGGGCCCTCGCCGGGCCGGCTCCGGGACTGTCAACAACACTGCCCGGGTGATGCTGCCCCCATCGTACTCGAGGACCGCATCCCAGAAAAATGATTCCGAGCACCCGGAAAAATGTCGAAAGAGTGTCGAGACAGTGTCGGGCGAGTGTCTCCCAGGGCCCGACACGTGAAAACCTCAGAGGTTCGGTACTTTTTGGGGCGCTCGGAATTCTTTCTGATGATCAGGGCTGAAGTAGGCTGGGACATCATAGTACTCGGGGTGAAGAACCAATTATCTGGGGCCCCTGTATGGGAAACATCCGATCGGAAACCGCTATCAGGAGGCAACTACTGGGAGGTTTCGTCGGAAAGACTGAGGAGGCTGAAGTCCCGTTGGGGGGCTGTTACGCCGGATTGGGCCTCGGATCAAGCGGGAGCAGGCCGGATTGAGCGGGATTGAACGGGATGAGGCTGTGTTTTGCAGGACTGGGCGGGATTCAGCCGGATGTCGGACTAAGGCAAGAGTTAGACTTTGACCTCCCAGGAGTTGGGGAGACCAAAAGGTACCGATGCCGCTACTCCCCGGACCTCTCCCGGGGGGCGTTCTGACCAGGATTTCGAGGCGAATCCAACGGTGGTGACAAGAGCCTCCGAGGAGGCCCGAAAAAGAGGAAATCGAGGGGAGGGGAGTTGCATCCGAGCCGCCAGACACCCCAGACGTCTCTCCCGGGCGAGGGAGGATCCAGCCGTGGCGTCGGGGGCCTCCCGTCGGGACCCCGCACAGCGACAACCCCGTCCCAGAGCGGGGTCGGCGGCGCAGCCCTGCCCCAGGAGCGTCTGCCCCGGGAGGCCCGCACGAAGAGAGAGCCCCCTGTCTGAAATCAGACAGGCGCGTTCCACTACTCACAGACAACAAAAATACTTGCCAATGGCCTGGGTCCGCTATGGGGGATTCGCGATACATGGTATCGAGGCAGACTCGTGTTTTTTGGGGGGACGTTTGCGAGTAGGCACTCTGTGAGTAGTGGGACGCGCTCGGTGAGAAGCAAGAACACAGAAGACTGGATAAACATCAACTTTGGGAAGCCCGCGCGGATTTGGATCTGTGCTTAACCGCCCTCCCTAGCGCTCGGTCGGTGTCCACCAGGGAGGCCCAGCGCAGATCCACGAAATCCGCTCGGATCTTTGACAGGTCATGCTTACGACGCGTTTCTTTCGCCTACTAAGACATCAGATCGTCCCAAGGGATCCCATGTCTTACTTCTTGCAGGATCCAAATAAATCTGGAGCCGCTCCCTAGGGAAATCGCCGTCTTGATTTTTCAATGCGGTGGATCTCTCGGTGTTCGCCTTCAATGACCAACAAAAAGAAATTGTCGGAAGTACCGAAACGCGACTTCTGGACCTTTCCTGGGCTGCGTTCTGCCCAGAATTCCGAGGCGATTCTAGTGGTGGCGACGAAGACCTCCTACGAGGCCCAACAAGGACAACCAAAAAGGAGGTGTACGAAATTCGGCACCTCTTCCGCCTCTGGTTCTGATGAACCGATGAGCATCGTTTCACCGATCCACATTCCCAGTGGTGCGGCCTGGGCACCACTCGCCGATTTACCCGCACGGGTGAGACATAAGCTGTTTCCTTTGACATTCGAGGGGCAAATCCCTAAGTAGGGTGTTGGTATGGTGGGAATGGGGATGGTCAACGATATCGATTGAGGAACGTAGAATGGCATAACTATCAACTTTTGGAGGTCCGCGCAGAGTTTTTGGATCTGCGCCCAACCCCCCTCACTGGCGCGCGGAGCGCGCCAGGGGCGGCGCCGGAGGCGCCGCCAAGGGGGGCCCCGGCGCGGATCCAAGAACACCGCGCGGAACGCCAACATATTATGTTTATGCCTTTGTTTCTTCGAGGTCGTCGAGAGGTCTGCGGATGCGTTGGTAAAGCGCAGGGGGGTCATATCGGCGAAGGGGGAGGGCTTCTAAGAAGCAAGGGTGCTTCTGGGAAGCCTTCCCGACTCCCCCTATCCCCCTCTGTGCGTGGCCGAGTATGGATTTTTCATTCGTCGGCCCCCGGAGGTATCGACCCATTCCTCAAGACGGGTTTCTCATCCCGAGTCGTTGTTTGCCGGTCCCGAGGCCTGGGGAGGGCCCCACGAGGCCGAACATCGCAACAAACACCTCCCATCACGAGTTGTCCATGACCCGAGGGGGTCTGGGATCGCTGCCCCTGGCGAACACTTATTGCTCGAACTTCTGCCGCTGTCTGCTCCTGCTCGGTATATTCCAATCCGACCGAACCGAGTCTATGTTGATCCCGGTCCGCCCGATCCGATTCGAGTTCGGTTTTGCTTTCCCGTCGATCCGATAACAACAGAAACCTAACGTCAGGAGTTGTCCATGACCTGAGGGGGTTCTGGGGATCCAACCAACCCGTATCATAAGCATGCGCGGGAACGATGCAAAGGCCTTGGGAGGCCCATCTCGACGCTTTTTCCGATTGGGGTGCCAACGATGGTGGCCCAGGATGGACCAGGAGGCAAGGATGCGAGGGTACCCTTGGGAAGACTGCCCGTCCTCACTGTGCGGGTTGACTGTTTTGGACGCCCGAAATGGGTACGGAAAAAATGGGTACAGTTCCAAACAACAAATGTTGTCCCAGACCAACAGCGGCCGCTGTTGGGCAGGCGGCCTTCTGTCTCGAGTGGACACAGGCCGCGGCGGCGCGGACAGCGAGTCCTGTCCAAAATGAACAGGAACTGCTGTTGGGCATTGTACCCATTCGTTCCGTACCCATGTCGGCCGTCACTGCAGGGATCGGTGACACGATGCTGAAACACGTCGGACCGTCGGAGGTCTGGGCTCCACGTGGTGCGCGGCCACCAGCTGTAGCCTCGCCGCCTCGAGGCCCTGCAGCCGGCGCACCAGCGCGGCCGCCTCGGCCACGGCCTCCTCCGCGCCCGGCGCCGCGGCCGCCTCCTCCAGCGCGGCCGCCGCGGCCCTGACGCCCTCGGAGAGCGCCTCTGCCGCCAGGGCTGAACCTGAACGGTGTTTTTCGTGCTCGTGTTGTGTTCGTTTTTCCTCGCTCGTCTCGAATCCGCCCTCACCGCAAAACGAAGTCGAAACGAAAGAGGCCACGAAATCACGAAAAACACCGTTTAGGTCAAGCCCTGTCTCGGGAGCGGCCAAGAGAGGGGTGTCCAAGAGGGGGGGGTGCAAATCATGACCGGCGGCATGTGCGCGGCCCAGCGGGGGGGCCAGGGACGTGATGAACTAAGAAGAGGCGCCATGAAATCTGGGGAAAAATCATGGCCCCCGCCATGATATCCACCCCCCCCTAGTCATCACCCCCCTCTTTTCTGCCCCCGACTGTCTGCCGCGGGCAGCCTTTTCTCATCCACGTCCGGAGCGTCTGGGGCTCTCGGGGAAGGGGCGCCCGCGAGGCCAGGGCGCCCGGAGCCTCCATAGGGGGGCCAGGTCCGCATCCACGGCAGGTGCGCCGGGGGCCTCTGGTGAGAAGAGGGGCCGCTCCTCCTCCTCCTCCTCCTCGTCCTCTCCCTCCTCCTCCTCCTCCTCCTCCTCCTCCTCCTCAAGGAATCATCGCCTACATAGTGCTACTTTAGCTTAAACCACGAACGAAATAGTTGGATATGGTACATAGCACGTGTAGCGAACAAGAGAAGCTCCAAGCTGCAGATGGGCACAGGTATTGCCCGCGTCTGCGAGTCGGGAGCTTCGAGCAGCCTCGAGCCTTGCGTCTCAGCAGCGCGACGGAGGCGTATGAAGGGGCCCTGGGACACACACATTACCCTGTGACGTACCCAACCCATTTAAATCAATGGAAACGAGGAGTTGGCCGAAACTTGCATGGACAATCAACTTGATGTGTAAGCTACTTGGGACACGCGCCTATGGCATGATGCGCAGGAAAACCATACAAGAACGAGGGGCGACAGCTACAGGCTCGAAGAGGACATAGGGGGGAGTCGGGAACGCAGAGCAGGAGAAAAACGTGCGGGAAGCCGAACCATCAGCACGGCAGCAGCAGAGGGAAGGTGACTGCAGGAGGAGAACAAGGACGAAAACGGCGTCTAATTTGATTCTGCGATGGGTACCCACTGTGCAGTGCCCCTCAGCAGGCCTCGAAAGTGGCGACAGTTTCACAGATCGCAGCCCCCCAGGGATGGCGAGGTCTAATTTGAGTCCGCGGTGTGTACCCACTGTGCTGTGCCCCTCAGCAGGCCTCGAAAGTGGCGACAGTTTCACAGATCGCAGCCCCCCAGGGATGGCGAGGTCTAATTTGAGTCCGCGGTGTGTACCCACTGTGCTGGGCCCCCCAGCAGGCCTCGAAAGTGGCGACAGTTTCACAGATCGCAGCCCCCCAGGGATGGCGAGGTCATTTGAGTCTGCGGTGTGTACCCACTGTGCTGGGCCCCCCAGCAGGCCTCGAAAGTGGCGACAGTTTCACAGATCGCAGCCCCCCAGGGATGGCGAGGTCTAATTTGAATCCGCGGTGGGTACCCACTGTGCTGGGCCCCCCAGCAGGCCTCGAAAGTGGCGACAGTTTCACAGATCGCAGCCCCCCAGGGATGGCGAGGTCTAATTTGAATCCGCCGTGGGTACCCACTGTGCTGGGCCCCCCAGCAGGCCTCGAAAGTGGCGACAGTTTCACAGATCGCAGCCCCCCAGGGATGGCGAGGTCTAATTTGAGTCCGCGGTGGTGCCCACTGTGCTGGGCCCCCCAGCAGGCCTCGAAAGTGGCGACAGTTTCACAGATCGCAGCCCCCCAGGGATGGCGAGGTCTAATTTGAGTCCGCGTGGGACCCACTGTGCTGGGCCCCCCAGCAGGCCTCGAAAGTGGCGACAGTTTCACAGATCGCAGCCCCCCAGGGATGGCGAGGTCTAACGGTGGGTCACTGTGCTGGGCCCCCCAGCAGGCCTCGAAAGTGGCGACAGTTTCACAGATCGCAGCCCCCCAGGGATGGCGAGGTCTATTTGGTCCGCGTGGGTACCCACTGTGCTGGGCCCCCCAGCAGGCCTCGAAAGTGGCGACAGTTTCACAGATCGCAGCCCCCCAGGGATGGCGAGGTCTAATTTGAGTCCGCGGTGGGTACCCACTGTGCTGGGCCCCCCAGCAGGCCTCGAAAGTGGCGACAGTTTCACAGATCGCAGCCCCCCAGGGATGGCGAGGTCTAATTTGAGTCCGCGGTGTGTACCCACTGTGCTGGGCCCCCCAGCAGGCCTCGAAAGTGGCGACAGTTTCACAGATCGCAGCCCCCCAGGGATGGCGAGGTCTAATTTGAATCCGCGGTGAGTACCCACTGTGCTGGGCCCCCCAGCAGGCCTCGAAAGTGGCGACAGTTTCACAGATCGCAGCCCCCCAGGGATGGCGAGGTCTAATTTGAGTCCGCGGTGTGTACCCACTGTGCTGGGCCCCCCAGCAGGCCTCGAAAGTGGCGACAGTTTCACAGATCGCAGCCCCCCAGGGATGGCAAGGTCTAATTTGAGTCCGCGGTGTGTACCCACTGTGCTGGGCCCCCCAGCAGGCCTCGAAAGTGGCGACAGTTTCACAGATCGCAGACCCCCAGGGATGGCGAGGTCTAATTTGAGTCCGCGGTGAGTACCCACTGTGCTGGGCCCCCCAGCAGGCCTCGAAAGTGGCGACAGTTTCACAGATCGCTGCCCCCCAGGGATGGCGAGGTCTAATTTGAGTCTGCGGTGAGTACCCACTGTGCTGGGCCCCCCAGCAGGCCTCGAAAGTGGCACAGTTTCACAGATTGCAGCCCCCCAGGGATGGCAGGGGGGAAGAGAGGGACGGGAAGGAAGGAAGCAAGGAGACGCGCGAGCAGTGCTCTATTCAAAACGAGAACCCAACGCAGGAGGGTTGGGAATAAAGACGCACTAATACAAAGATTCCCCATGTTTTCCCACATTTTCTGGGTTTTTGTCTTCCCCCCTACTTCCCACATTCTCCTATATTTCCTGAGGAACCGACGATTGATTGTGTCCGTGTGTTCCGTTCCCTCCTGAAGCCTCCGAGAGGCTGCCCCGCCCCCCCGCCCCTCCGCGCCGAGGAGCCCCCCCGCGGGGTCCAGACGCACCCATCTGCTGTGCCGCGCCGGGCCGCGGCGACGACGGGGCCTCTGGCCAGCCTGGAGCACCTCCCTGCCCCCTGAGCTTGGCACAAGCCGAAGGGCGAGGACAGTCTGAGGGCTGCGGCCCCGGAAACGGAGGGAGTCCTTCAGATCGGCATCGGGATGAGGCGATGACGATCGTAGAGGCAGGGACGTGGGCGGTGAAGATGAAGCTGACGTAGCAGACGACGATGAAGATGAGGCGATGACGATCACAGGGGTAGAGGTATAGGTGATGACGACTGCTTTAGGCTTGAAGTTGCGTAAGAGTTGTCCATGTCCACCGCCTGGGGACTCGACGCCCTGGGACCCCCCCCCCCGAGACCCTGGCGTCGCAAGGTCTCTCGAGTCGGTCACCTTCGGGGCCCTGGGCCCTCACGTCTCGACTCGGCTCGACAGAGGCAGCCAAAGGCTGGGGTCTGGGGTCTGGGGCAGCAGTCGTGAATTTGTCCACGGTGTTGCAGCTCTTCCGCGCTGTCGGATCTCAGGGCCAGGGCGCAGTGGATATGACTACGTACATTGTTGTTGGCCCCAGGGGGGCCCGAACGTGTTCGCGTCCACTGCGTGCCGAGATCCCCGAAGATCGATCCCACAGGCGGCGGTTACCCAGAGATCCGACGGCTGGTGTTCTTCAATGCGGCCCCCCGGAAGGTTCGCGGCCCTCTCTCGGGGACCAGGCTCTCGTCCTGAATCGTTTTCTGACTGTGCGGAGGGTTTGGCGAGGGCCCCTGGAGGCCGAGAACAGAAGAAGACCCCCTCTTGTTTTTTGTTCCAATGCCCGATGCGTTGGACCTCTGGGTTGTGGACACATCCCCAGCTCGGAGCCTTGAAGCGCGCGGTGGCGCAGGACACCACGAACGGGTACATGCGCTGGAGGGCGTGCTGGCCCCCAGCCTTGGGGGCAATCTTTTTGTTAGTGTCTCTCTCACTCTCTGTATGTATGTATATATATATATATATATATATATACACATCCATACGTTATATCCATATCCAGATCCATATCCTTCGCATATCCGTCTCCACTGCGTCTTGGACTGTCGGGGAAGGGGCGCCCAAAGGCCGAGGCACAGTGGATCTCGATAACAATTCTAGCCTCTAGGGCGCCATGTGTCTATCCATATCCACTGCGCCCCTGGCTTCTCGGAGCCCGAGGCTCCACGACAAGACGCAGTGGATGCGGATGCCAATCTTGCCCGCAGGCCTTGCTGGTAAGCAGGTGCTGGAACGCCGCGTCGTACGCCTTGTGCACGACCACTCTCGCCCCGTGGAGCCTCACCACCGAGGCCACCAGGCTGGCGGGACCCGCCTCGTGGGCACGGTCAAGAGCAAAGGAGCGACGATCAGCACTGCCAAACCTGAACGGTGTTGTGTTTCCGGTTTCGTTTGGTGTTTCGTTCTTCCTCGTTCTGCCTTCGCTTCTCCTTGAATGCAAAAGAAGACGCAACGCAAAACAACCCACGAGATGGCCAAAACACCGTTTAGGTCCAGCCCTGACGATCAGAGACGTGTTTTGAGCAAGATTACACAGAGGCCATACGCCGATGCTTGCGCGGGCCGCCACCGCTTCACGCCACATATTGAAGCGAGGTCGCTTGCGCGCGACCTTGCGCGGGCAGCCTACGCGCACAAGTCGGTAAAGACGGCCCCCTCTTCCTTGCGCCGCTCAAATCAGTTTTGGTTGTTGCTGTTGATGGTGGTGGGGTTGGTGGTGTTGTTGCTGTTGTTGGTGGTGGTGTGGTTGTTGTTGCTGTTGTTGCTGTTGTTGTTGCTGCTGTTGTTGTTGTTGGTGTTGTTTTTGTTGTTGTTGTTGTTGTTGTTGTTGTTGTTGTTGTTGTTGTTGTTGTTGCTTTCGCCCTCTGGAGGGCCTCGCTGAGCTCCGGGACCGTCGAATCGACTCGGGACGAAAAGCCAGTCCACGGGAAGGGGTCGAGACTTCCGGAGACCCCGTGCTGAACAAACACAAGACATCGGCTCTCTGGGGAGGTTCCCCGGCCCCTCCTCTCCCCACCCCGTACCCTCACCGATTCCCCTCCTTTTCCGTCCTGTTCCTCCCCCCTCCTGCAAGTGGCGACATCCGAACCCTACCCCCACCAAACACGGATTCTCCTGCATCGATGGGAGGCGGGGGCAGGGTTCAGCCTCGTAAAAAAATCATGCTGACTGCCCCAGACCCGATCTTTATGCACGTTTTCTTTCGAGCCAGCTTAGGTCGGGCATGTCCTCCCACAGGGTGATGTTGGACGAATACTGAAAATAGGCAGGAAATCCTAAAAAGTAAGAACAACTAGAATTCGTCCCCATATTATTTTGTTTACTAGTTCTTGATATAACCCCTGTAGAGGGACACTCCCGACTTAAAGCCAGCTCGATGCCGCCACGGGGCCCCACTTTACTCGAGCGCCTGACTCAACAAAAATGCCACGCGACGGAGGCGTGGCCCCTCCGAGACTCCCATCCCCCTGCCCTCCCCGCCGAAGGAGGCGCGGGTCGGCGCAGGGCGACGGGAGACAACCGCAGCTCAAAAGGCGGTCCCAGGATCCCCCACCGGGGTCCAAACCCAGCGGTTTAGCGGGATAGCGCGGGGGGAAGTGAGAGGAAGCGGGCCTTCTCGGAAGGCTCGGAATTCCCCCGGCCTTTTGAGAAGTCGTCGAAGCCTCCCCCGAAGACAGAAACAACTTCTCAGAAGGCGCGAGGGCTTCTGAGAAGTCCAGCCGCCTTCTGAGAAGGCCTCCTCCTTCTCACTTCCCCTCGCTCGCCGCCGAGCAGTTTTCAGAGCCGCGACCAGCCGTGGCGACGACGGAGCCTAACCAGCTCCGAGCTTCGGCATCCCGATGCCCGAGATTGACAGACCCACGGGCGGCGAAAATCTCAGGGATGCCCCCCTCAGAACCTGCTGGAATCCTTGATCGGCATCGAGAGAAGGACATGCCAATCACAGGGACAGGGACACTGCGAAGATCCAATGTCTTGACTTTTTCAAGACGGGGTCTTCGGCAGTCGTGAGCCATTCCCGGGGACTACGGCTCGTCACCCCAGTCTTTTTGTTGACGGTCCCGAGGCCCAGCGAGGGCCCCGACGGAGGCCCAATACAACGAAAAAACATCCCGCCAGGAGCTTTTTGACGCAAGCATGTCTGCGAAGGCCGGCTACCGTTGCCTCAACTTGCCCTCCTCAGAGGGGCATACAAACGTTTTTTTTTTTGAGACGCCCAGAATTGGTACGGAACGACATGGGTACGATGCCCGCCAGCAAAGATTGCCCAACACCGACAGCGGCCGCTGTTGGTCAAGCCAGTTTATCTCGAAGGGGCAACACCCGCGGCGACGCCGACGGTGAGGCCTGATCAAAACCAACAGGAAATTCTGCCAATCTTCGTGCCCACTCTTTCCGTACCCACTTCTCTCGTCCCGAAGCTCGACCTCCTCGGAGTGTGGTTTGCAACCCGGGCCCGAAGGGCCTGCGAGGATCTCGACTCAGATCTCTGCCGCGCCACGACGAGGGCTAGACAGACCTTTGGCGCAAGGTGATGACCCTTAAGCCCCTAGGGCACCGATCGCAAGCCGCACCCTGGCGTAACCACACCCATCGTGCAGAAGGGCTGCCGAAACCAGGAACGCCAGACAAAGAAAGCAGCCCCGTCCCGCCACCCAAAGCGCCCGGGTGCACGAGGAGGGGTCGAGGAACGGCCACGGCGTGGCCTAAGGAACAGCGAGTCCCTTCCGAACCCGAAGCCGAAGCGGTCCTCACAGCCAACCCGTAGAGTACGGATGCGCGGTAAAGATGCAAGGGCCTTGGAGGGCCATGCTGACGTCTTTCGAACGAGGCTGGCCGGCGAAAGCCGCTGAGCATGGGCCGAAAGCGAAAGGATGCCAGGGCGCCCATGGGAAGGCTGCCCAGCCTCAACATTTGTGGGTTGGCCGTACTTCAGCGTCTTGGCTGCAGCCGCCCCGCCGAGATCGGGGATCTTCTGACCCGGGTCAATCCAGACCCGGGTCAGCAGGAAACCAAAAACTGCAATGCAGGAACAAAAATAAACTGCAACGCAGGTCCTCGCAAACCCGGGTCAGCCAATACGCGCGGCCGCCTCGCGGCCACGAGCGGCTCCCTGACCCGGGTCAGCCAGGGGGGGCCTTCGCAGGATCCTGCAGGATCTGGTGCCCTGGCTGACCCCCGTTTGTACTGACCCCCGTCTCTTAGGCCCCGGCGAGAGCTGGCTTCTTGACCCCGGCGCCGCCGCGAGATCTGGCGGCCTGCCCCCGAGATCCGGCTCGCCCGCGAGGGCGGGGAAGCGGCCCAGCAGCCCCACCTCGCTCGGGGGCGCCCAGAGGAGGAGGAGGAAGAGGAGGAGGAGGAGGAGGAGGAGGAGGAGGAGGGAGGAGGAGGAGGATGAGGAGGAGGAGGAGGAGGAGGATGAGGAGGAGGAGGGAGGAGGAGGAGGAGGAGAAGGAGGAGAAGGAGGGAGGGAGGGAGGACGAGGAGGAGGAGGAGGAGGAGGAGGAGGAGGAGGAGGAGGAGGAGGAGGAGGAGGAGGGGAGGAGGAGGAGGGAGGAGGAGGAGGAGGAGGAGGGGGAGGAGGAGGAGGAGGAGGAGGAGGAGGAGGAGGAGGAGGAGGAGGAGGCGGAGAGGAGGAGGAGGAGGAGGAGGAGGAGGAGGAGGAGGAGGGAGGAGGAGGAGGAGGAGGAGGAGGAGGAGGAGGGAGGAGGGAGGAGGAGGAGGAAGGGGGGGGGCCAGGAGGGGGTTCGCAGGCCGTGACCCGAGGCGGCACGTGCGCGGCCCAGGAGTGGGCGGGGACGGGGGGCCAGGGGACGCACTGGGATGGGAAGAGGCGCCGTGGAGTCTGTTGGGCGCCGCCTGACGGGGGGACGATCCATGGCGGGGGGGGGGGGAAGCAACGCGCACCTCTCGGGCCCCAAAGAGGCCCCCGCGAGGGCTCCTTTGTCTGCAATCCTCGCTGCCCCCCCACTCATCGCCGCCCCCCCCGTTACTCGACGCCCAAGTCTGGAGACCCCGGCCATGGTGCAGTAGGAGCTCGACCACAAGAAACCTTCCTCAAGAAACCCAACCCCGAAACCCAGGACGTCCATTGATCCTTGGTGTGGGAACGTCAGGCGTTCACTGCAATGAAAACATCAAAATCCAAGAATTCCAGGGCACCCTGGAGGCAAGCAGGGTGTGTCTTGGCATGGGTTTTCACTGTACAGTGTTAGCCCGCTCCCTTCACATGTTTCTTGCATTGCGAAGAACCGCAGCGGCCCAGCGATGAGAGCGAGGTGCAAACGGAGGCAGAGGGAAGAGAGGACAGAAGCAGAGGGCACGAGGACGACACATGCATGGGGCGACCAATGCTAAATGTACTCCACCTTCGTGAATCTGCGTTTTCCGTTTTCGTGCTGTTGCCGCTTCTCGTGTGATACCTTCGCTCCGACCTGGCTGCAAATCGAGATCAGCACGAGCACGGTCCACGAAATCGCCAAACCGCACGTAGCTTGCGATCTGGCTTGCACTCAATGGTTCGCCCTGCTTGTTCTGCAGAGAGATTGGGCGGGCAGGCCGAGGATGTGTGTGGTGGCCACTTCGTGGCATCCCCAACGTAGCTTGCATCATAGCTTGCACCAAGTAGCTTGCACGACATAGCTCACACCACATAGCTTGCCTCAAATTGCTCGCACCACATAGCTTGCATATCCAGAATGCAGTCACTTACTGTTGAGGGTCCACTGGCGAAAATAGTCTTGCACTATTTCGGGCGGGAAGGGGGGGGGATCGGGTAGGTAACGCTTGGGCCGAGTGGGGCACGTCGGGGCGGGGGTGCGCTCTCATCGCCATGATATGCGCGCGAACACCATCAAGCGTCGGGGGGTCCGATCGTTACAGTTACCCGGCGGGGTGGAAGGGTCCCAGGTAGCGATGGTTACGCGCACGAGGGTAAAACACGATGCTCGAAACAGCTCCTGGAGGGTCTTCTCCGCAAGAACGATAACGGATGTTGAACATCGATTCAGGGGCCATTCAGCCAGATTAGCTCAGATTACGGCCAGCCTAAAGCCAAATCCAGCAGAACGAAACTGGCTTTTGCCAGGTTCGGCCTGCCTCCCATTCCAAATAGACCAGCGTACATGCTGAATTCAACGTCCCAACTATTGCATCCTAAAGGGTGCGTGGATAACGCCAGGTTCGAGTCGTGAAGGCTCGGCTCTGCGTTGGTTTCTGAAAGCGTGTGACTATTTCAGCCTAGGATGTGAGTGTCTTCATGACAGCGCGGGAGCCGCGTCAGAAAGACACGAACAGTTGGGGAAGCCAACACCTCGTGTCGTGCATACCAACAATATAACAATACAACGACTTTCTGTCTCTAGCGGCCCTCACGAGGACCCTGGGCTTTCAACCAATCAAGATCTCTGAGGGCACACGTCGCGACCAGAATCACGACGGCCAGGAATCTGGCCTTGGTAGGTCTTGTTGGAAGCTCATTCTAACATATACCGCCTCGGTTTGTACTAGCCTCTAGTGGCACGCATCGGCCTTTCGTACATGATTAGCGGCCTCTAGTGGCCTTTGGCTCCGTGTTGGCGGCCTTTAGTTGCCTTGAGCTGCCTCTGGTGGCATTCAGCTGCCTCTAGTCGCCACTACTGACATGCAAAGATCGGGTCGGGCGAAAGGGGGGATAGCAAAGGGGGGGGTATGAATCAGCTTTCCCGGCGCCGGAGGCGACAGTGTATCGAGGAATAGGCAAACCCCCCCTTTCCCAATCCCCCCCTTTCGTCCGGCCCGAAAAGAAATGCACCCTGGATGATACAATGAGCTTCCAACAAAAACTCGCTGAATCTGCGGGTCTGGAGGGACCTCCTGGCTGGGCCCCATCGGGGCAGATCGATACTGGGGTTAAGTCGGGCGTGTCCCCCTACAGGGGGATTTGCAACGAAAAACAAAAAATACTCACACAATGCTCCAGAATGGCCAACACATGCCAAGAAACTAGTCCCCAGACAATTTTTTGACTAATTCCGAATATCCCCCCTGTAGAGGGACAGGCCCGACTCAATACCGGGGCCGGGGCCAAGAGTGGCCCCGGCCCGACCGAGCTGGGCGCGGGCGGGCACACGACAGACTCACGACGCGACGACCTGCGCGCGGGCGTCGGACGCCGCGTGCGACGCTCGACCGTGGAGGAGCGCGGTCCTCCCATACATCGGGAGCGGCCGAGAGGGGGGTGTCCAAGATGGGAGGGTGCACATCATGACCGGCGGCATGTGCCGCCGGTCCAGCGGGGGGGGGGCAGGGACGTGATGAAACCGGAAGAGGCGCCATGAAATCTGGGGGAACATCATGGCCCCCGCCGCCATGATATATATATATATATATATGTATATACATATATATATATATATATATATATATATTCCCCCCCCCCCTAGTCATCACCCCCCTCTTTTCCGCCCCCGATCTATGCGGGTTGACTGTGTACCTTCGCGCATCGCGGCCTGCGATGCGCGGCGACCTCTCCGCGCCGGGCGCACCCCCGCGCCGCCACCCTGGAGAGGGGCATCCGCTTCGTCATCACCCCCCTCTTTTCCGCCCCCGAATACAGTGGAGGCCCGAAAACAAGAAACCTGTCACAACAAACCCAACCCTGAGACCCCCAGGACGTATATCGGGTCGGGCGAAAGGGGGGGATAGCAAAGGGGGGGTTTGAGAATCAGCTCACGTAGCTGATTTTCCCGGCGCCTCCCGGCGCCGGAGGCGGCCATGTATCGAGGAATGGGCCCCTCGGTGAGGCCGAAACCAGCTGCATGCAGCAAATTTCGTAACCCCCCCTTTCCCAATCCCCCCCTTTCGCCCGGCCCGAGTATACGGACGTCTGGTACGGGCACGTCGCGCCTTCCGCGGCGAGGCCCGCGCAACCCAGTACCAGGAAGCCCAGGGCACCCCGGGGCACCCCGGAACGAACGGAACCACCGCATCGGACAGCTGCCCGGGCCTGCCGAGCCCTGGTGGGTGAGGCCACAGCCCCCCGCAGACATGCAGGACGTGCACAGGAGCTGCGAGACATGCGGAACGTTGGGAACCTGCGCAACACACACACACACACACGCACACGCACACACACGCACACACACACAACACACAACACACAACACACAACACACATACACTCACACGCATTCACACAAAAAAAAGTTGTGGCGGAGGGGGAGAGGAGGACAACATGGCCGTGAGTGTCGGCGAAATGCTGAGGTATGTGTGCTCGAGTGCTATGTTGTTCCGATCCTACTTAAGGACCGCATCCCAGACATGATTTCGAGCACCCCGAAAAGTGCCAAAAGAGTGTCGAAACAGTGTCGAAACAGTGTCGGACGAGTGTCTCCCAGGGCCCGACACGTGGAGACCTCGAGTTTGGGGATACTTTTTTTCGGGCGCTCGAAATGTTCTTCCTGGTGATCCAGGCTGAAGTAGGTTGGAGCATCAGAACTCGAACATCGACCTTAATGGGCCCTGGAATCGACAGGGCCATTTTGTTACCGGTTCCGGTTTGCCGTTTTTGTTGCCGGTTCCGACGCCGTTTTTTTACCGGTTCCGTTGCCGTTTTTTGACCAGTTCCGGCTCCGGTTCCAGTCCTGGAGCCGTTTTTGTTGCCGTTTCCGGTCGCCGTTTTTTTGCCGCTTCCATGTTCAAGGGACAGCTTTTTGGAAAACTGTGAAAAAACGGCACTGCCGTTCCCGGGGCCCACAAAGGTGTCGACCACGTGGAGTAGGGGGGTCTGGGCAAAGGGCCGCCCTTTGATGGATAGTCTCGGGGGTCTAAAACTTCTCGTCTGGGAGGGTTGTGACCCCCTCCCTTTTTATTACGAAATCTGGAGTGCAGTAGGTTGGAGCACCATAACTCCAGTGCCGACCACGCGGAGGCGAGCAGGGCGTCTCTTGGCAGGGGCCCCCACTGCAGCGAGGTCCGCTCGACGCCGACAGCTCCCGGGCCACGGGCGGCGCCCAGCCTCGCACGCCCCGGCGCGACTCTCGCCACCGCGCCCTCGCGCGGCACGGGCACGAGCCCAGCAGCGGCCAGCACCGAATCGCAATTTTTTGTTGTTCTGGACGCCCGAAATGGGCACGGAAAGAATGGGCACTTTGCCCAACAGCAGTTCCTGTTCATCTTGAACAGGACTCGCTGTCCGCGCCGCCGCGGCCCGTGTCCATTCGAGACAGGAGGCCGCCTGCCCAACAGCGGCCGCTGTTGGTTTGGGACAACATTTGCTGTTGGGCAGTGTACCCATTCTTTCGGTACCCATTTCGGGTGTCCAGATTTGTTTGT